ACCTTGTCTCAAAACAAAACAAAACAAAAAGAAAGAGTCAGGAACGCAGCTTAGTGGTAGGGCAGCCCTGGATTTTGGCGTTACCACTGAAAAAGCAAACAAAAAAACCCAAAATAAAACAAAACAAAGCTTCCCAGGAAATGTGACATTTTCTCTGCAGTCTGTGTCTGTCCTTATTTGATTTCATTTTTGATTAAAGCTGCATTTCCCTGTTTCCAGCATCTTTCCGTTCTCAGACTGCCTGGGCTGGTATTTTGGCTGTTGGACCTCTTGACAGTGACGTGCTACTGATTTAGCTGTGTGCCTCTCATCCCCTGCCTCAGAGGCTGGTGAATCATAAATTCTCAGTAAATGTGTTCCCTCCATGCTTACATCGGTTGTTGTTACCCGCTTTTGCCTCACGTGGGCGTTTAGAATAAATCCACTTTCTTTCTCACTGTCTACACAGCTGCAGAGGATTCCGGCCCCTGGCTGCTACTCCACCCCTCATTTGTGCCACTGTGTTTTCTGGCTCTGGTCCAACCTTGGCCATCATCTCAGGTCCTGGTGCACATCAAGCTCTGTTCTGCCTCCGGGCCTTTGCAGATGGTGTCCTCTCTGCTGGGGGCACCTTTCCTCTGTTCTTTAGTGACTGGCTCCTTCTCAGGATTCAGGGCCTAGCTTTGCAAAAAAGACTTCTCTTCCTTCCCCATTGGGAAGGGGGCTCTTTCAGTTTTCTATTTTAGATCTTATTTCCTTCCTAGAACTTGTCATAATTTGCATTATTTACCCCCAACTTCCAGGTCTCTAATTGTAAGGTTTTTTTTGAGAAAGGGTCTCATTATGTAGCCCATCCTGGGCTCAAACTCAAGACAATCCTGCCTCAGCCTCCTGAGTACCAGGATTATAGATGTGTGTCACCGCGCCCAGCTCAGAATATATTTATGCAGACATTTCCTTGTTTTATATCTCGTACTTATCACAGTGCCTGGTGTTTAAGAAGCATTAAATAAATATTCATTTATATTACTTGCCCGATTTCATTTCATCAGGAGGGACTTAAACCATGTTGGTCTGGGCTCATCTTCTGCCTGTAGATAATAAGTGCTCAAGAAACTCTTTTTTTTCTTTTCTCCTTCTCCTTTTTTTTTTTTTTTTTTGCAGTACTGAGAATTGAACCCAGGGCCTTTACCCTGAGTGACATCTCCAGGCCTGTTTAATTTTTTTTTTTTTTTTTTTAATCTTGAGACAAGTCCTTGCTAAGTTGCTTGGACTGAGATCAAACTTAGTGATCTTCCCTTTGCAGCCTGCTGAAGTGTTGGGCTTCCAGACATGTACCACCATACCTGGATCAATAAACATTTCCTTCCTGTACTTAATGAAGATGAAGGAAAAAAATGGACTCTTCATCATTGCTTTTGTTATTTCATGCTTCACTTAAGCCCTGAGAAGGTGGCACATAGTGTAACCCGAACAAGAATTTCAACCCCACTGCAGCCTGTAGGCCTAGGGCCAGAGCAGATGGGCCCACAGAGGCAGGCAGCGCCCGTCCTGATGCTCCTTTCTAAGGATTGCAAAACACCTTCGAAGGAGAAACGGTGCGCGCTAGGCACAGTCAGCAGTTTATTTTGTTTCTGTTTACAGGACTCTGGGGAAGAAAGAAAGAGATTAGCAGCTAGGGGAGAGGTGGTTCTGGCAGGGTGTGAGGGATTCTCCCGTGCCACCTGGGACTTCACAGCCTAAACTTCTGCCCTGCCACCCACTACTGCGCTACTTCTTCAGTCTTTAGTTGCCTGGCCACAAACTACCAAGATAGAAGCATGAGGGAAAAATCCCTTAAAGGTGTGGTGGCTGGTTGCAGGAGAGAAAGCCAAGAGGGAGTCACTGAGATGCAAGGTTTTTGCGTCCCCTCTCACTCAGAGTAAAAGCCTGATTCCGTGCAGTGGCCTCAAGGCTGTAAGTGATTTACCTGTTGGGTTTCATTTACTTTTCTTTCTCTCATTCATTCTGTTCCAGGCTGCTGGACTTGGTGGCCCTGGAACACTTCTATCTCAGGCCTTTGCATAGGGTGTTGTCCTATGGCTGAAAGCTCTTTCCCTAGAACCATCTGGCTTACTTTCCAATCTTTTGCCCACACCTTACTCTCTGGGAAGGGCTTCCGTGTCTACTGAGTTTGGAATGACAACCCTCCTCCTTACCCCATTTTGGTACTCCCCTCTCCTTTCTGCTTATTTTTATCTACAGCATCAGCACCTACTTTCTGCATGGCTACATATTTTGCTTTTTTATTTGTCTATTGTCTGTCTTCCCCCACTAGATTGTAGATTTCCTCATTTCAGGAATTTGAGGCTCTTTTATTCGCTCTTAAATCCTCAGGCCTGGGGCGGGGAGGAGGGTGACCAGTTTATGGTAGCTGCTCAATAAGTCTTTGTTGGATAAATGAATGAACTTTTGTCTTTCATCTCCAGAAGGTAAAAGCACAAAATTTAATTGCAGGGAGTGGGAATGAGTGACTCTGGGTACCAATCCATCGTCTTTAGCATTTGGAAAAGTGAATTCTTTCTTTCTTGATATAGGCCAGTGAAAAGCTCTTACTGTAGGGTAAGACTTTCTAGTTAAATATTGTTTCATTTGTGAAAACATTCACATGGCCCCCGGTTTGAAAGCTAGGAAAAAGTACGCGGCATGCAATAAAAACGCGTCTTGCCCCTGGCAGTCCCCTGGTTCCCTGGGGACCAACACTGTCACAGTGTTTACTGTTCCCCAGCAAACTCTTTCAGAGCATAACTAAGCACATACGCAGTGCGTGCTTCTGCCCACGAGTTGGGAGGAGCAGAGCAAGAGGCGCACGGTTTATTTGTCAGGAAGCATTTTTCTGTCCATTAGATGAAAGGAGTCAGAAAGCAGAGAGGTTTTGAGATCCCCTTTTCCAGATGCTCTTGTCCTGTTTAAATGGTTAATGTCACCAAGATCACTTCTGGGAGGGGCCTGAGGTATGTAATATTTTTTATTGGGTGCAGGTGGAAACAAAGGAATGCTAGGAGTTACAGGGCTGAGGGCTGAAGGATGGAGGGCTCGTCATGGGCATGAGCTCCGGTGAGTAGCAACAGCGGGCACAGGAAGAGCGGACGGTGGTATCTCATGTCTTGAGGCCTTGTCTTTCCCTGGGTTCCAGAGCAGCTCTCGCACCTGTGCCCTAAGGAGTGCCCTCACATCATCCTTCAAGCCATCTCTGGGCCCCTGGCTGCAGCCACTGCCTCCATCCTCACCAACCCTATGGATGTCATCCGGACCCGTGTGCAGGTAATACTGGTCCCCTCAGTGCCCCTTCCGGGAGAAGCCCCTGCAGCATAGTCTTTGGCCATCTAGTTCAGTCAGCCTTCTGCTCAGCCAGGCCTGTGGTGTGCTTATCACCCACAGGAAGCAGCCGAGCTTGTCTGCTGCCTCGTGTACCTCTCCCCGTTACACGCGCCCGCCTCCGGGATTTCTTACTGTTTCTTCCAGCTGGCAACTGGAATCCTGTTCCATAGCCTGTAAACCACTCTGTCCCATCTTGAACATTTGTGGTTCATAGAGGTATTGATTTCACTTATTTCCTAAGTCTGGTTTTTCCACTAGAGCATGGCTCTCTATGGAGACCGACTGCTTTTAAATAGCTTTCACAGCTTGGGCTGTGTGGGCTCAGCAGAAACACTGACAGCACCCATGATAGTGCTGTCCAGAAATGAGAACCTCTGTCTTCAGTCAGCCTAAAGACTCCTTCACCTGGAAATAGAATCTGATACTATCTGATATGCCAAGGGTAGGTTTTGCTGTGTGAAGTTTCAGATGGAAAATAAGGGAGATTTTAATGCTGGATTTGGATACCTTAGCAAGAAAGGAGAACTAAGAAAAATGTACCGGATAGTGTGGCCATTCTAACTGAATGGTGAGAGGAGGAGGAAAAGAGAAGAACCTTAGTAGGTAGGAGAGCTGAGTGTGGTAGCAAATGCCTATAATTCCAGCTACTTGGGAGACTGAGGCAGGAGGGTCACTTGAGTCCAGACATTCAAGACCAGCCTGGAAATTACAGGGAGACCCTCATCTGAAAAAATACAACCAACAATAAATAAAACCAGTTGGGGATAAAGTCAGTTTCTCTGCTATCAGAGTGTCAGAAAGGAGCAAGCATAGGTATTTTTGTCCTTAGGAAAAGATGCTGTCCTGACATTTGAAAATGAACACATTGCCGGGTGTGGTGGCGCACATCTGTAATCCCAGCACTGAGGCAGAAGAATCGCCTTGAGTTTGAGGCCAGCCTGGGCTACATAGTGAGTTCAGAGCCAGCCTGAACTACAGAGCAAGACCCTGTCTGAAAAAAGAAAAGGAAAAGAAAAGAAAAGAATCACATTGGCGTCTAAATGGCTGAGTGGCAAAAGTGCACAGATCAGACCCCACTCTTCTCATAAGCCTCGTGCTGGTGTTCTGGGGGGAGAGTGGGGAAATGACAGCTGAGGGCTCCCAAACTGGAGATACGGAGATAAGAGGAGCTGGGGGTAAGAGGGAGCTCAGCTAGCCAGGTGTGGTGGTGCATACCTGTGATCCCAGCACTTGAGAGGCTGAGACAGGAGGATAGCAAGTTTGAGCCCAGCCCGGGCTTACATGGTGAGTTCAAGACCAGTCTGAACTACATAGCAAGACCCTCTCTCAAAACAAAAACAAATGAAAAAAACCAGCCTCCCTGAGATCAGAGGTAACAAGCACCCAGTCCAGAAACTCAGCTGTGTAGCCTAGCTAATGATATTGAAAGATAACACTGAGCACTTAGTGTCCACCAGGTATTGTTGGCATTTAGAAGTATTAGTTTCTTTTTTATTCAAAACAACCTCTTTAGCCAGGTGTGATGGTTCACACCTGTAATCCTAGCACTTGGGAGGCTGAGGCAGGAAGACTGCCATGAGTTCGAGGCCAGCCTGGGGTACACAATCAAGTGCAAGGCCAGCCTGAACCTACATAGTGAGATTCTGTCTCAAAAAACAACAACAGCTGAGCATGGTGACGCATGCCTGTAATCCCAGCACTTGGGTGGCTGAGGCAGGAGGATCATTTCGAGTTCGAGACCAGCCTGGGCTACAAAGTGAGCTCAAGGCCAGCCTGAACTGCATAGCGAGACCCTGCCTCAAAAACAAACAAACAAACAAACAAAAAAAACAAAAACCAACCTCTGGTGTAGGTATTGCTGCTGTTGTTTTATATTTGAGGACACTGAGGTGCAGAAGCATTAATTACCCAAGGTTGTACTGTAAGCTAGGGAGTAAACTCCAAACCCATACAGTTTGGCACCTGAGCTCACAGGAAGTCACTGTGCTGTGCTGCCCCCCAGCAGCACAGTCCAGCCCTCGGACTCCCAGTCTAGCTCTCCCCACTTGCACCTGAGGCAGAGCAAGACAGAGCAGAGGGGCTTTGACTGCCAACAATGACCCACCATCGTGTGAACTTTTGCAGGTTGAAGGCAAGAGCTCCATCATTCTGACCTTCAGACAGCTAATGGCAGAAGAGGGGCCTTGGGGCCTCATGAAAGGGCTCTCGGCCCGAATCATTTCAGCTACACCCTCCACCATTGTCATCGTGGTGGGCTACGAGAGCCTCAAGAAACTCAGCCTGCGCCCTGAGCTGGTGGACTCGAGACACTGGTAGACACAGCAGGCTGAGTAGCTTGCTGTTTCCCACATTACGCTGGGCTGGGGACAAAGCAGGGAAGCGAGTGCCCTCTCTGATGCGTCCAATCCGTCCCTAGCCTTTTGCGGGGCCAGGTGGCCTGTCTAGGACAGGGGCAGAGACTTTGAACTACTCTTGCTGAAGAGGTTCCATGCCTGGCTCTCCTGCCCCTACTATTTTTAATTCTCCTTTTCAACTAGGCTGCCTCATTCAATCCCTATATTCAATCCTGCCCTGAGGACCCCACCCCAGCTGCACCCTGCTAGCTCCTCTCTGGCTTCCTTGCGCCTCTGTCCTGAGGTGCTGAGAAAAGCCCTGCGTGCAGCTCGCTTACCACTGCTGGCTCCTCTTGGGCTTCCAGCCCAGACTGTTAAGCAGCTGCTCCCAGCCCTCTCCCACTTCATCTCTTACACTTGCTTTTTTAAAATTTGGGACAGAGCTGCTTCTCCCTGCCTCTTGGGGCAAGTTACCAGGCACTTTTGCACAGGGAGAATGGCTCTGCAGAGCCCTCATCCTCTCTTTTGAGCAGTTACTAGGATAGGGAGAAAAGTTGATAGTTTATTTTGTGTGTGTATTTTTTAAGTGTCTGTGAACTAAGCTATTGTCTTAGTCCTGCTAGGGCACCAGTCCTGCTATCAGAGCCTACCCCTTCCTCAGATAGGTAGAAAATGACATGTAGCGTTTTCCTCAGTCCTAGGTTCCTGTCCCATCTGTATCCTTTCAGCACCCCTTCCGTCCCAGCAGTCCTCGTACAGTATGAGCTGTTGGCTTCCTCAGGCCCAGGTGCCTACAGTGGGTGGCACAGTTCTAAGTAGAGCAGCTGTCTGGAGTACACGGGACATGCAGCACCACCCTGAAAAGTCTGGTTGAGAGAGTGGTTGGTTTGGAAAGCGACAAAAGGCTGTGTGTCACCTACCACATCTCCTCAGGCCACTGAGCCAAGCCTAGGAGAGAACAGTGGAGGTTCTCGCGGCAGGCGGCCGTAACACATACGCGCACCCCTGTCGCTCAGACTGGCGGCCACAGATGTTGAGCTGCTCTCAAGGTGTGGAATGTTTTTGCTTTCTTTTCCCTGGATATGAAGAGTTTCCCTAGTCATGGAACCCAGTGCTTGCAAGAGAATAAAGAACAGTTCAGGAAGTCACCCAATTCTAGGACCACTGCATTCACCAGCCAGATACTGCCAGGATTACCTGAGATGCTCTCCTTGGGAGCTCGGCGATGGCGCTCCTTCCCTGCCTCATCCTCCCCCGCCACCCCTCCTCCACCAAGCCTGTGTTGCCGGCGGAAAGATGCCGTGAATGGAATGAGAAGATGGACAGTGAGGCTTTGCCTTCCTACTTCCGGACTTTTGGCCTAGATGATCCTTAAACCTTTTTAATGGTCCCGCCCCAGGAAAGGCCACGGTGCCAATTTGAAAGGTGCTAGTTACCTGAAGCCTTGATTTCTTATGGCTGCCCCACGTTCTTCCCTCCTGGCCAGGGAAGAATCGGAAAATCACATTTCTATAACTTCATCACTACCACTCCTCATCTTGGTCCCATCTGTAAAGGTTTTCTCCCATTCACTTACCTTTTCTTTGTCCCTTCCTGCATCTTGTCAAGAGAGCCCATCAATTTCTAAATTCTTAATTCTAGCCCTTCAATTTCTAAATGGCCAGTCAAAGAGTTGAGGCCACAGATCATTTGAATTTTGTGTCCCTTGCCCACTTCTTCACCCTCAGAACCGGCAATGTAATGGAGCAAGGGAGCTCCCTCCTCTTTAAGGTTTTTCTATTAAGACCTTTGGAGATTGGTTGTCTTAGTTTTCACTTTTTTTTTCCTCCCTTGTCTTCCGTCCTTCCCCACAGTGGCAAGGTGGGTAAAGGAGCATGGACAGCCGGCCTGGAAACCCCTGCACTTGGGAGTCCGGAGCGGGAGGAACCCAGGTTCGAGGCCGGCTACATAAAGGGGTCACGGCCAGTCTGGAAATGTCATGGAGAGCAGGGTCTCTCTCCCAGACGCCTTCCCTCGGGCTCGTTTTTCCTGCACAATATTTCAGTCTTTTATCTCTCCCATTCATATTCATCCTCTCTCCTTTTCTTTTTCCTCTCTCTTTCCTCCCTCTCTCTGTTTAAAAGAATGATCTGTGTGTAACTGAAGAACTAAAGCGACTTCCGGCCCCCATTTTCTCTTAATAGTTTAGGGACAGATTGGGTTTAAAATATGTCTGGGTGAGTAGGGGACAATGGACTTCTGTTTTCCTAAAACTGGAGACCAAAGCCGCCGAAAGTTTTAATGTGTTGGTTGGTAACCAAAACTAAAAAAAAACATACAAAAAACAAAACTTGGAGAGACTGGGAGAGACGGGCAACCTGACGGGAGTACTCAACGCAGGACAGGGGAATGATTCATTTAAAACGATGAAGTGGACTCTTGTGAATATTGTACTAGCGAATATTCTCTGTTGCACTGTACGAAGTCTCTGAAGTGTAATTAAAAGTTTTTATTGACCCCGTGCCTGTATTTTCCCGGTGTGGAGAAAGTACCGTGCATTGACGCGCGATACCGCCTCCGTCTGCTGCCGGTCCGCTTCTCCCGGCGCCCTTGTCCCGCCCACTTCGGTGACAAACATTCCGCCGTCCCAATCAGCGGCATCCAGTGGAGGGACGGCCAATCGGGAGCACTGGTGGGCGGTGCGGCCCGGCCAGTTCGATTTGGCGGTTCGACTCCAACATGGCTGAAGCTGGCCTCCCCACTGAAGCAGCGGCTGAGGGAAAGCCTGGCGGGCCGTCTCCGGAATCCGTGCCATCTGGCACTACCATTTCCCGGGTGAAGCTCCTCGACACCATGGTGGACACCTTTCTCCAGAAGCTGGCCGCCGCCGGGAGGTAAAGTGGAAGATAGGGAGACGGTGAGGTTGGTCCCAGCTGCAGTCCAAATCCCGCGAGTTCGGCCCCGCGGCGCGGTCACGTGGGGTTCGGGGGCGCGGACCCGACGGAGCGGTGGGGGGTTAGGTGGTGGCGGTCGCTGTGACCTCACTGCGCTGTCAGGTACAGAGCCTAGAAGAGTCGCAGGTAACCTGTGGCCCGGGACAGCTGGCTGCTCCTTCCGCAGGAAGCCTCGTTTCGACGAGAACGTCGCTTCAGATCAAGGTTTCCAGGGTGGCCCGCTTGGTCGGTTCCCGGCCGTCAGACGCTACTGCAGCGCCTTCCCCCGTAGGGTCATTTGGAGGATTAACGGGGCTGAGTACACCGGAGCCGCCCGGGACGGTATTGCACACAGAAAAGTGCTAGCATTTGTGGGGCTAATTAATGCCTTCCCTGGGAGGTTGTGAGGACTTAACATTATCATAAGGAATTTTTTTCTCTGTGTTTCATTGCCTTTCCTATCAACAGTTGTGGCGATACTGGGATTTGAACCCAGGGGCTTCGCAATGAGCCACATTCCTCAGTCCCCTTTATTGGTTTATTCATTTATGTTTAAATTTCGAGGTCGAATCTCACGAAGTCGCTGAATTGCACAGGCTGGGCACAAACTTGAGATCCTTCTGCCTCAGCCTCCCAGAGTGCAGAGATTACAGGTGTGTGCCACCACAGCTTGCTTGGACACTTTAGAGGAAAGAGTTTTATCCTGATCCCATCAACTGGACACATTAATGCTGAAACAGTTACCAGAATTTCCAGTGTGGTCCCCTGGCCATAGCCATTCCTTTATCCAGCTTTCTTTTTTGTTTTGTTTTGTTTTGGTTTTGGTTTTTTTTTTTTTTTTTTTTGGTCTTTTTGAGACAGGGTCTCGCTATACAGTTCAGCTGACCTTGAGTTCACTTTGTAGCCCAGGCTAGTCTTGAACTTGTAACCATCCTCCTGCCTCAACCTCCCGAGTGTTGGGATTACAGGCATGTACTACCATGCCCAGCTCTGTTCTTTGTCTTCATGAAAACTTCCATTTTGTGGCTGGGGACAGTGATGTGTGCTTCCAGTCCCAGTCACTCCAGAGGCTGAGGCAGTAGGATCACTTGAACCCAGAGTTCAAGGCCAGCCTAGGCAACATAGTGAAATCCCAGCCTCCATCTCAAAAACAAAGCAAAAAGACTTCCACCTTTTTCCAGCCTTTCTCCCCGTGACCCAGCACATGCTTGTGTGCCTTCACCGTGTCCAGTGCGGGGTTACCATGAAGCAGGCGAGGGCTCAGTCCTGGACTTTGCACTCAGTGGGTAGATACTGGTCACAGGGCTTGGGGAGAAGAGCAGCCAATGTAACAGCACTAGGCACGGTGGTTAGGGAAGCCACACGAGTGACATCCGGCTGAGACTTGCATTTCTCTAAGAGGGTGGGTGGGCTCACTTTAACCGGCGGTGTGGGGTGGGGTGGGGTGTCCCTGTCTGGGCTCTATCAGCATCTGTCATAGGTTCTCAGCCATGTGCTAAGTGGGCCTTCGGGTCACAGTCCTGCCCTTCAGCGGTGCCCTCAGTGAACCTGCGGTCACCACACCCTCAGCTCTTTTACTTGCTGCCTGCACCTCCTGAATGTCCCTGTGACCCCAGCAACAGTTCTGGGAGCCACCATGTTTTCCCTACTCAACATTTGTAGTTCAGCCAGGCACGGTGGCGCACGCCTGTAATCCCAGCACTGGGGAGGCAGAGGCAGGAGGATCGTTGAGACCAGCCTGGGCTGCTAAGTGAGCTCAAGGCCAGCCTGAACTGCATAGCAAGACCCTGTGTCCAAAAGACAAAAAAAAAAATTGTAGTTCATAAGGACAAGACCATCAAGTGGGAGTTGTCACTTCTATCCCTCTGGCTGAGAGGCCGGTCCTGGATCCTCCTAGCCTCCTAGCCTCCAAATTAGCTTCTGGCTAAACCCAGGCCTTAGGTTGAGACATCCCCGTCCTCCTTCCCCAGTTCCAGTTTCCCTTTGCTCAGGGCAGTCTGCTACCATTCCCTCAACTGGTTGTCACTGTCCTCTCTGCTGCCAAACACTGGGGACACTTTTTCACCTTTAACCTGCTTGTTTCCTTGTAGCATTTCACAGTTAGCCACTTCTCCATTCTTGAAATTTCTCTCTTGATTTCCAACACCATTCTTCGTCCCTTGTCCTTTGTCTTTTTCCCTGGTATTGGGGATTGGACCCAGTGTCTTTGCACTGACCCACATCCCCAGCCCTTTTTATTTTTTATTTTGAGACAAAGTCTCACTTAAGTTGCCCAAGCTGTGCTCCAAACTGTGATGGTCCTGCCTCAGCCTCCTAGAGTGGTGGGATTACAGGTGTGCACCACCACACGTAGGTGTTCCTCCCTGCTAGCTGCTTCTCTGACTTCTCCTCTGCTGCCTGTCCCTTAAATGCTGGGATATTGCCCAGTGCTTACTTCAGCTCCACATGTGAAGAATGGTCGAATTCCATCAGATGCTGTGCTGCTGCTCACAGCCCTGCAGTGACTGTCCACTGTTCCTTGCTGTGGTTTCCAAAACCTGCCTGCGCTAGCCCTGCCTGCCTTTTAGGTCTCCCTCTGACCCTACAGTTCCCCAAATGCCTGTGCTTTCTGGCCTTGGGGCGTTTGCACATGGTGTTGGCTTTGGCAGGAACTTTTCATCTCCTCTTTGACCCTCTCTCAGGTCTGCTTTCTCCCCTGGTTATCTGGCATGATATCCCCTGGTTATTTATTCCTTCATAGCACTCACCACAGCCTGCAGTTCTGTTGTCTGCTTGTGTTGTGTGCTTTCCATCATAAATACTTGGGGCAATTTAAATAAGAGGAAAGCTCGGTGTGCTGCTTCATGCCCATAATCCTAGACCTCTGAGAGGGTTAAGAGGGAAGAGTGGAAGGTTTGAGTCCTAGCCTGAGCAATTTAGGAACCTAGAGAGACCCTATCTCAAATAAAAGATTTTAAAAATGGGCTGGGGGTGTAGTTCCACTTGAAGGCCCTGGGTTCCATCCCCACCACCAAAAAAGTACAGTTTTGGAGGTTTTGGTTCATAAAGGGTGCATATCTTGCCTGTGGCCTGTGGAGAGGCAGCGCATGGAGGGGGTGGCACCCAGTGAAGGCAGCTGCCCCCCTCATGGCGGCCAGAGGACGAGGGAGGCAGCGGAGGCGCCAGGTCCCCAGGTCCCCCTAAGGGCGCAGGCCCAGGGACCTCCCTTCCGTCCAACAGGCCCCGGTCGTGAAGGTCCCCCTGGCCCCAGCAATGCCTCGGGAACCTCCATTCTCAAGCCTTCCACTCGGGGGTCTTTGGCAGACAGGAGGACCGGGCTCGCGCAGCCCAGCCGGGGTGCTGGGTCTCGTTGCCGCGCTGGCTGAGCGCGCTGCCTGGCACCCGCGTGCGTGCGCCTCCCACACGCATTCCTGGCTTTCTGACCTCGCCCGCTGTCAGCGGCCCCAGAAGTTCCCACTTGCCCGCACAGAACCGTTCCGAGCCTTGTAGCTCGCTGTGGAGCTTCCTCCCTCCCTCCTGTTCTGCGATCCCTTACTTCGCTGTGGGAACCTCAAGCTGGACATTTGGGAGTCCCCGGGGCACCCTCCCAGCCACCCACCCGGCTTGTCGGTTGCCACCTTTCTAACCTCACTGGCCCTGTGCAACTCTCACCAGATTGCTGCGCGCACCTCCATCTCTCCTGCCCTCCACCCAAGCTCAGAGTCCGCCGAGTTCCTCTGCCGCTTCCCGGGCGTGACCGCCTCGGCGCAGCTTCCAGGGCAGGCGCCTCAGCACAGCCTGCACGGCCATTCACTCCTCCGCCACGCTGGCCGCCAGCCAGGGCTTGCAAGCGTCCAGCATGCACACTCAGGCCGGTGCACATACACGGGCACAGGGCTGCTGCACAAGTGCTGCTGCTCTGCCCCTATCCCTTGCCACTGTTCTCTCTCCTCTCTGCCTCTTCACTAGACATCCTTCTTATTTGTGAACTAGCTGGGCGTGGTGGCTCACACCTATAGTCCCAGTCTCTGGGAGGCTGAGGCAGGAGAATCACCACAAGTTCAAGGCCAGCCTGTCCCATCCTTCCCCCAGAAAGGTAGTCGGTTAGGGGCACTGTTAGTTGGGCCCAGGCTGAAGGCAGTTAGTACTAAAAAAAAAAAAAAAAAAGTGTGTTTCCTAACCTCCAAGGCCTCATAATCCATCAAGAACAAGAGACAAGTCTACACATACTACCCCAAAAAAAAAAAAAAAAAAAAAGCAGTTAGTACTATTCAGAGAACAGTTGGGTCCACCAGAGGTACACAGAGCAGCTGCCACAGGAGAGGTGGTTACCTAAGAGCCGAAGCACGGAGGTGATTGATGCTTCTTGAGTTCTTAATACCCTGGGCGGGGCTAGTCCATGCCTTTCTGGCCCAGGCTTGCGGCCTGGAACGTGATGTGTGCAAGGGGACTAAGGAAGGAAACTCATTGCACTTGCACTTGAACTGGTGGAGTTTTAAACCCAGTGCCAGTGGGCTGGGGTGCACTCGGTGTCACAGGCTTACCTAGGTTAAGCGCGGCTCTGGGTTTGCCTCCTGCTACAAACAAAAGAAAGCAAAGAGCATCGCTGTCCACAGGGAACTCCTTTGCACTGGGACGTGTAAACCGACTGAATGCCGTGAAACCTCACTCGGTGCAGATGGTGCAGGCCGCAGTGGTGATCTGTTTCTAGGGTGTGGTCTGGCTCCTCTGGGCTGCCTGGGCCTGCTGCTAATTCTCTCCACGCGTATTTCCAGACCATCACCTCTGTCCCCACCCAACTGCCTTACTCAAGGCTGCTGTCCTTTCAGCAATGCCTTCTGAACCCCCACTCCGACCCTGGCGGCCCTCTTCTCCCTCCTCTGGCCTGAGTCAGTCCAGCCTGCTTCTGTCCAGCCTTCCTGACCACAGCGTGCAGGCCATGTCACTTCTAGCCAGCCCTGCCACAGCTTGCTCCTGAGCTC